GCTTTATTCAATCTAACCTGAACCACTGTGCAAGTGCTCAAGACCTTTTAATTCAGAGTTTGACACAGTGGATCGTTAATATAGGGATTGTTTCAGAACCATACATGGTTCCAGATAAAAACAACTGGGTCGGTGACCGTGATGGTCTTGTTGCGGTTTTTATAAATGATGTCAACTTGCTGTCAGTTGCTTCAACAATGCAGGGTAGAGGTTGCGTTGCTTTAAAAATTGGCAGAATTGCAGTTATTGGTGTTTATTTTTCCCCAAATAAAACGCTTGCTGAATTTGAAACGTTTTTGTCCGAACTGGGCTGTCTTGTTTCATGGTGTCGACCCCTCGATCTTATAGTCGCTGGAGATTTCAATGCTAAATCTACAGTGTGGGGGTCTCCAGTATCTGATGAACGTGGTGACGCTTTGTTGGATTGGCTTGCAACTCAAAATTTAGTGTCACTGAATCGGGGTAATGTTCAGACTTGTGTACGTATGAATGCTCTATTGTGGACGTTACCTTTTCAAGTCCTGCTCTTGCAAGTCGTGTTTATGGATGGAGGGTGTTGTCAGAAGTTGAAACTTTATCGGACCACAAGTACATTCGTTTTGATATCCTGGATTCCACTGTAAGCTTACCGGGTCCTGCTCCATCTGAGATAGGTCCTAGATGGTCCCGAAAAAATCTAGACAAAGATGCGCTTACCGAGGTATCCTTAGTAGAAGCTTGGAATCCCAAACCTTCAAATTTTACAATTGATTCTGAGGTAGAATGGTTTAGGGACTCACTGACTCGTATCAGTAACGTTGCTATGCCCCGGATCGGTTCCATCTCACCCAAGCAAAGCGTCTATTGGTGGTCATCTGAACTAGCCCGACTACGAGGGGAGTGTGTCAAGGCGCGTCGCCGTTACACGCGTTTTAGAAGAAGGCATCTCAGTTACCGTGATCCGGACGAAGAGGCAAGTTTATATACTTCTTATCAAGAAGCAAAAAGGGCTCTTCGGTTGGAAATAGCTGAAGCAAAGGATAGGGCATGGAAGGAGCTCCTGAACTCTTTGGATCGTGATCCTTGGGGGCGACCGTACAATATTGTCATGAGTAAACTCCGTCCCTGGAGGCCGCCGCTAACATCCACAATGGAGCCGACGTTTCTAGGGATGGTTGTTACATCGCTGTTTCCTTGTGATTCTGCTCCTTTTATTAATGTTGACTTCGATCATTCAGAGGATATTCCTGAGGTGTCAGAGGGTGAGTTAGGGGCTGGTGTTTTTAAAATTCAAAACAAAAAAACCGCTCCTGGTCCAGATGGATTGCATGGAACGGTTTGGGCGCAATCTCTTAAAAATGGCTTATTTAACAGATTTCGAGATCTCCTTTCTGATCTTTTGAGGAAAGGCATATTCTCTAATAGCTGGAAAGTCGGACAATTGCTTCTTCTTAGGAAGTTCGGGAAACCGGTAGATTCACCTTCGGCCTATCGACCTATTGTTTTACTTCCTGAGGTGGGCAAACTGTTTGAGCGAATAATTGTCTCGCGCCTCGAGAAGCATCTTCAGATTATTGGTCCAAATCTGTCTGATACTCAATTCGGTTTTCGGCGTGGTCGCTCTACAATTGACGCTTTAGCTAAGTTAAGGGACTTGTGCGAAGAAACTGTCTCTGGGGGTGGGGTTGTGTTGGCGGTTTCGCTAGATATTGCGAATGCGTTCAATACTATTCCCTGGAGAGCGATTATGGATGGTCTCCTTTATCATGGTGTGCCTGTGTACTTACGTCATGTAGTAGGAACTTATCTCTCTGATCGATCGATCATTTATCCAAGTCGGGAAGGTTGGAGAAGCTATCAGGTTCGATGTGGAGTTCCACAGGGGTCTGTTCTTGGGCCCCTTTTGTGGAACATTGGATTTGATGCTGTCCTTCGAGGTAGACTGATGCCAGGAGTAGGTTTAATATGTTATGCTGATGATACACTTGTGACGGCCAAGGGATGTAATTATCAGGAGGCGAGTTTGTTAGTTACTGCTGGAGTGGAAGAAGTAGTGACTCGTATAAGTCAACTTGGTCTTCGAGTCGCTCTACAAAAATCAGATGTCATATGTTTCGCTAGGAGGTCACCACCTAGAGGCGCTGAGATAATAGTGGATGGTGTTCATATGGCATTAAAGTCGACGTTGAAATACCTCGGGTTGGTTATTGACGCCCGATGGACTTTCAAGGCTCATTTTGCTGCCCTGGAACCCAAGCTTGATTCAACTGCAATGGCATTGGGTCGTATAATGCCAAATATCGGTGGGCCAGGCGGGGGCTGTAGGCTCCTTTATGCTGGTGTGGTGCGTGCAAAGGCGCTTTATGGGTGTCCGATATGGGCGGATAAGTTGTCTTTTTACAACAAGGCTTTACTGAGACGGTCACAGCGTAAAGTTGCCATAAGAATTGCTAGGGCATACCGTACCGTATCCTGTGACGCGGCATGTGTCATAGCCGCCACTCCGCCTTGGCATTTGGAAGCTTTGGCTTTGGGTAAAATTTTTTGGAGAAGAGCTGAAGCCAGGAGTGGTGGTTTTGACCCACCTCTGGAGGTAGTCAAGGTCTGGAAGGAGGAGTATCGCCGCCTAATTTTGCTAGAATGGAGGGATGAGTTAAGTGAATGTCGGTTTGGTTTACAAACTGTTGATCTTATTCGTCCCTTCTTGAAACACTGGGTGGACCGACGGTGGGGATCGCTTTCCTATCGGCTCGTTCAGGTTCTCTCTGGGCATGGATGCTTTGGGAGTTACCTGCATCGAATCGTTGGAAGAGAGGCGACACCTGCTTGTCATCATTGTGACTGTAGAGAGGATACGGTGAGGCACACTGTTGAGGAGTGTCCGGCTTGGGACGGCTTTCGCTCGGTCCTTGCTGATAGCATTGTTGGCAATCTGTCGCTTCCACTAATTATCCAAAGAATGGTGGAAGCTGACAATGACGGCCCTTGGAATGCCTTCAAGGCTTTTTGTGAGGCCGTCATGACTGAGAAAGAGAATGCGGAGCGTCAGCGTGAAAATAATTCTGATGCTCCGCCGGTAAGAAAACGACGACCGGGGCAGCGACGCCGTGCTTTCGCACGTCTGCCCTAAGTTAAGATGCTGATGATTTGTTCGTGGGAGGAGTCACGTTGATATTGTGGCATTCGCGTTTGGCGGGGGGTAAGGATAGGGCTCAGCTGTTACCTGCCTCCGCCCTTTGGCGAGCCGAAGGCATCCGTCAGGTTTTAGTGGGTAGGTGTGAAGATATTATGTCTGAGTCCCACATAATGGAGTAAAATTCAGCAGGGATATGCGTAAAAGCATTTCCTGACGTTAAAAAAAAAAAAAAAAAAGATATTTGGTGCCTTATTTTAATAAAAAATAACCATAACTGAAACATTTTTATTTTGCTACCTATTTGTTTAATATTCCTAACTTTTAGTAGGTACGGGTCATTCATATATGCATTATCTGTATATTCTTGTAAAATAAACTAATATTGTTTACCACTTTAATGGCTTTTCCTACTAAAGAAGACATAGGTAAATTACCAAAAATAAAACTGACAAATACATAACATACAATGTTTATTCATTTCTTACTTAAACAGATTTTGCATTTCATATTAACTAGTAGCAAATCACTGATATAACCAAAAGTTAATTGACATAAATATTAACTTAAAATCAGCATCAAACTTAATCTAATATGTTGGAGCATCAATATGGAATCAAAGGTTGATTAAGGGTTATAATTTCATACCAGACTAAGTTTCTATTTTATAATTTTTATTTATCCCTTTTTTCATTTCATTGAGTACTTGCTGCTTTTCAATTCTCACTTTCTAAAAGTATAAATTTATTATAAACAACCAACCTTTATGACTCTAACTTAAACTGAATTTGTTTGTTGGACGTAAACAGAGATAATTCCAACTAGTAGCAAATCACTAATAAAATCTACACTTATATATAAATCTGCTTTCAAATTGACATTAAAAATGTTCAAGCACAAACACCAAACCTAATTTAAGTTAAATCAAACTCTAATTTCAGTGTTCACACTAGTCTACGTTTTTTTTTCTATTGTTTTTAATTCCTTGGACTTTATCAACTTCTAGTCAACCTTATTTTCACTCTTTATTTATCAATCCACAGTACTATTTCTATTGTTTCTTCTAAGCGGTAACAAAATATGTTGCTTCTTCATTTTGCAGATTAGTTGTGAGGTCAAATCCTAAAAATAGCAAAGTATGAGTACTACTAATTATTATATATCGCGATTATGCAATTTCAAAATATTGTATTTATTTGTAGTCTTAAATTTCTGAGAAAACATGAAACAAACCATAATTAATTTAAACATGCAATTAAAATTCATATATTCACTTTTCACCTTCCGTAAATTCCACTTAAATCGAAAATTGTACCGACCTTGCTGACATTCTAATGTCCCTTTTGCAGCTTCCAATAATTGGAATTTGCATTTATTGCAAATTTGCAATAATATTGTAGTTTTAACTTTTATTTGTTTATAAAAGTGACATTAGGATTTTTAGGAATACATTTAATCCAGAGACAATATGACGGAATAAGGTGCTACGAACAGCAGCTCGCATCTACGGTGTCGACTTTGCGGTAATGTATCGACATGCCTCTTGGCTACGAACGAAGCGTTTTCGACAATACAATTACGCAAAAGCGGTAGTGTATGTAGAATACTTTTCGACACCAATATGGCTAGACCCCCCTGGTCTGGTGTTCAAAATAAAGTAGTTTGGGGAGATAGCTCTTTTCACCCACTGGATCAATGAATGTAAATATGTCAACGTAAAATTGATACGACATTTTTGTTTCGTATTTTCTCAAAAAGTAAGAGAATTTTAATAAAAAATATAATGTATTAAACAATATATTAGACAACAAAAAGCACACAATAGTTAACAAAGTTAAAATAAAACTAATGACAACTTTAAAATAAATACTTCTGGTTTAGGTCAGATTCACATTTTCCCACGTATCCAGTCTACGTAAGCGTATACTTTTGTGAATACATCATCATAACCTTTACCACACGGTACTCCAAACGAAACCACTCCTATTAATGTTCCGTTAATTGCCAATGGACCTCCCGAGTCGCCCTGTAAACAGATAAAGTCACTTTAAGTACTTGCCTCCACAGATATAGTCAAACAATACACAAGGAACTTTTATTTAAAGCAATATAACCTTTTTTCAAAACAAATGTCAATATTATTTTGAAGTCTATGTATTTCTTTTATTGCATTTATAGAACGAAATCGAAATCGTTTTAAATTCGTCCATATTGCTCATAAGGTTACAATTTTCATATGGAAAAACTCCGTAACTATAGCAACAGACCCATCGAGTCTTATTTCTAGATTCGTTATTGTTTTGAATTTTTATATAATATACTTACTGGGCATCCTCCTGTTCCTCTGCCAGCGTATGCGCAGACTTGCTTTTCACCAATCGGTAGGATCGTTTTGAAAGCTCTCAAGTTTCGATTGCATTGCTTCAGAGTTTGAGTTGTTAGTATCGCTTTTTGGAGATTATCAGGAGCTCTCCTGGCTTTCTATTATAATCAAATGTCTATTAAATCTACATTGGAAGAATTTGGTTGTCTAAAAAATATTATTTAAATATATTCTTCTCGACTCGAGTTGGACCAGTCTGTTATTTTACGACGATCACATATACGTGACTAAAATGCTGAACCATTATTATACGCTTTGCACTTAAATTTCTAGACTTCATTTGTTTTCTTTATTCGCAAGCAGGTGATAGATTTTTGTTTGACACATGTCTACGTTAAAAGTCTGAACTAATTAACCTCTATACTAATAAACCACTTCATAAAAAGTTAATTAGTCTAGTTCACACAGCGTTTACGCTGTTTTTAAACAAATATGTAGAAAGAAGTTTAGTTGGATTTCATTTACAGGCGATGTAGAGCGAAGATAATCAGTGTTTTTAAATTAATTTAAAACAGGACGTCTTTATCATTTTTTTTGTATGATGTATTAAGTTTTGAAAATTATTTGACATGTTATTTCCCTTCAAGTATTCAAAAATGTATACGTACGAAATTAGTATACCCCCATCCCGTGAGCAAAGCTTTTTTTCCAGCTTCGACATCGCTCGAAGGCAATTTTATTGGTTGAATTTTCTCTCCATAAGTAATGTTCGTAGACACTTTACATATGCCTATATCATTTTTCACGGTTTCCCTTGAGAAGTTTTCATGTGAGATGCACTTTTGAAGTTCGTAACGTTGACCATCATTAGAAAGTGAATTCGTTCCTACGACTATTGTCAAATTTTCAGTGGGAACTCTGAAAATATTATGTACTGTATTAATTATTCGATTTATTATACATTGTCTTTGGTTTAGGCGAAAAGGCGTTTATACATTTTGAATTAAATTTCTTAAGTTATAAACGCGAATTATTCAACAGTCCTGTTCAAGTAATAGATATTTTTATTATTACTTAAATCATACTTCGATATTCTGCTATTATATAATATAAAGAACATTTGATTTCATAAGTTAAATTATACAAGTATCATATCGATTTTGAAAGTTTATTTAATTATAAAAACATTAAATTTATTTATTGGTAAGGTAACAGGGGTTATTTAAAACAGATAAAAATCTTGCTTACAAAAACGTAAAAGTAGTAAAAAATGGCTTAACATTGCGGAATATGGTTGGTAGATCGTTAATGTAAACGTTAAACAGCGTAGGACCCAATTAAGGACTTTGTGGGACCCTAGATGTTATTGAATTAACAAAATCAAAATAATTCTGCACAACATTAATATATCCTGAATAATCTTCTAATTTTAATGCTAACAAAGAATGGGAAACCTTGACAAACGCTTTGCTAGAATCACAATAAACAAGATCAATCTGGTTTTTGTTATCAATACAAATTAAAATATCAGTAAAATCCAATAGATTAGTAGCAGCCGAGCGACGTGAGACAAAACCATGTGGGTAGACAGTATACATTTTTGAAATTGTCGTAAGCAAATGAGGAATTTAAAGACTTTGGCGAAGGTAAAATCGATATCGAGCAATAGTTGCTAACAAGAGTGGCCTCACCTTCCTTGAAAGGGGAAAAAAGAAGAAGAGTATACATAAAGGCTATAAGTACATATTATATCTATGTCACAGATTCGATTACTATTTTCAAAGTTGTGGTCACTATCAACTCAACAATCTCACTATCAACTCAACAATCTCACTATCAACCAACTCAACTCAACGATCGATTCAGCCCACTACTGACAAATTGACTTTGACACATTGACACCTTACAACCTGGAAGTTGTCTATGATATTGCGTGCCAATCTAATAAAACAAAAAATATCATGTTATCTTATTATATAATCTCTGACATATATATAACTTTCTTATTTAAATAATTTGTATAAAATAATATTAAAATTATAACTATTATACTAACTCGTCAATACAATGCGCCGCGGTTACAATCCACTGGTCACTTATAATGGATCCTCCGCATATATGAAGATTATTTCCTAACAAGTCGGTTTGAAGTGAGATTTGATATGGAGCTAAGCCGTCGGTAGCGTCATCACCACCCACAATCCGCCCACTGATTTTAGATCTGGCATCTCCTGTTTTAATATAATAACTTCATATTTGACAGAAATATGGTTGTGACAAAATTCATCTATCGCTATCCCTGTGGGTGTGTGTGTGTGGTAACTAGATAACAATTACTCCATGGTGCATGTTTCAAACAATTTTTTAAGATAAAGTAGTCTTAGTATTACAACTAATCAAACACAAGTCGTATAAGACAGTCGTTAAGTATGCGTGAATGTATGATAGTATAGCGCCTGGGGGTTTTCACCTCGGATTAGAGTTACAGTGAATGAATTAATATGATCGATGTGGGATATAGTTTTTTAAACTATAAATTGCAATGTTTACCCAAAATTTTTTGTGCAAATTAAAAAAAAAATATTATGAAAAATTAATGTTTGACCATATATTTTCACTTTAAACAGTATTTTACTTTATTTATATGTTAAAATATCTTACCTGAGTAGACATATATGAACATTTTTCAAAGATACCTGTGTATAAAAATAGCAGTAGGGATATCGAACAGCAGGAGAGCGGAGCGACAGCTGCTATGTACAATGGAATTTCTCAGCCAGTTTAGTTGCAAGTAACACGTGTTATGTGAATATTGTGCTTCTATAACAGTGAAAATTTGTTTTTTTTTGTGAAAATTCTTGTATATTTTTGTACTGGAAGGTGAATTGATGACGACGTTTTTATATTGAACGTTTTATCTTACACACTGTTTTATTGTGTTTTTTTATATTATTTTTATTACTCTTTAATGTATAACATTCTACGGTTTCGATATTTTTAAATATGTGAGGAACATGTATACTAATTTTTTTAGTATAGTAGTTTGCAAGCAGGTGTAGCATGTATTTTTAGTTTATATGAAGCTCCGTCTAAAACTCAAGATTTAAATACATTGAGGTTCAATTCTTTCATAAAAGCAACAGCCAAAAATACGAGTAATAAAAATAATATAGAAAAACACAATAAAACAGTGTGTGAGATAAAACGTTCAATATAAAAACGTCGTCATCAATACACCTTCCAGTACAAAAATATACAAGAATTTTCACAAAAAAAACCAAATTTTCACTGTTATAGAAGCACAATATTCACATAACGCGTGTTACTTGCAACTAAACTGGCTGAGAAATTCCATTGTACATAGCAGCTGTCGCTCCGCTCTCCTGCTGTTCGATATCCCTACTGCTATTTTTATACACAGGTATCTTTGAAAAATGTTCCTATATGTCTACTCAGGTAAGATTTAACATATAAATAAAGTAAAATACAGTTTAAAGTGAAAATATATGGTCAAACTTTAATTTTTCATAAAAAAAATTTTTTTTAATTTGCACAAAAATTTTTTGGGTAAACATTGCAATTTATAGTTTAAAAAAAAGGGTGCGTGTACTTATGTACGCGCGTAAGAAGTTATACTTCTTTGGCATTATTAAAAATAGTTTTTGATTGCATGCAAATAATTAATTACAATTAAATAATCAAAGACTGGAAAAGGAGTCATTAAAGTCAATAAAGTTCAGTTTACATTTGAAAAATTAATTAAATAAATATTTATTATTATTCTCTTACATTAAACAAATAAAACACTATTTATCTTTAAAACATTTTTATTTCATTATACTATTTATTATTAAGTGACTCTAATGTCTTCATCAGAATTTCGGTTTGTAATTTTAAATTAATCATTACTTGGTTGTGCATCTACGAGGCTTCTCCAAAACTACTTGCTTTCTGCAACAAATAAGAGAATATTAATTTAAGCTCTGTCCATGCAAAACTTAAAATTTTTTATAATTCATATTATAAATTTTTTAACACATTTATATTAATATAATTATATAAATGTGTTAATAATATAATTTGTAGCACATGCTACAGACCTGGATAGCAACTTTCTTTTATTCTATTTAGAGATAGAGATAATTTAAATATAATACCGGTGTCTTCCTTGTAGGTTTCTTTGGAGTTGTTTGGGGATTCTTGTTGTTCAGTTCGACATGATTTTCTTTAACCTTTCTTTAATCCTACAAAATAATGAAATTGTTAAGTTATGTTGTCACTGTTGTGCACACCTTTGTTTGGCTTTTTTAGTATTCAAGTTATGTCAAAACTGATTTATTACCTTGTCATTGTTGGCTTTATTTGCTTTTGGGATATCAATTGTTTCCAAAATGATTTTATTTGTAATATCCTGAAATATATAAATAACATCTATTAATTTAAGTATCATGGTGAGTGGTTCGCACTCAGGTATTAAGGTGTATTATACCCACTGTCCATTATAAGTGGGAATGGGCTCACTTCTGGCAGGACAGAGTTTCGGTACTACAAGTGCAACATGGATGTTTTGAGGTATTACAATATCTCTAACTACCCTGTAGGGGAATAAAGTAATGTTGTAAGCATATGCCTATGCTTGAAAGGTTGAACCTTGAACATCACCATACATCATATTTATAATTAACATTCCTACCTCGACACCATCACAATCAAATTCATTGAAATCTACTTCAAACCATTGTGTCTCGAGAAGGTGATGGTGGCTTTGTTCCACCTCCAGTTTTTGATGTTTCATGGCGATAAGATGACAACTCTTTTTTTGTATTCAATTTAGTGCACTTCCACTGATTCATCAATTGTTTTTTGTCTCTTGTCCTTATATTTGCTAGATTAAATCTGATGTTTTGATTAAATAATGTGGTCATTTTTTTTGAGATGCAGGTACTTATTAAAATGTTTACTTCTCTGTTATATCGCTCCAAGCCTTCATTTTCTCCTTATTAGTATTCGTGCTTAAATCTTTGTTCTCAATTATTGATATATAGGGTCGTAGAATATTTCTAAAAAGTTGCTGTAACAAACGCAATAAACAAAAGCAATTAATAATGGTTCATGTTTCAGTTTTAATCAACAATAATACTCGATAATACATACGGATAGTTAACCTCAATTGTATTGAAGCACTCAGGAAGGTTAGCACAGTTTTTTCACAAATATTTTATATTATTTCACAAATATTTTGTATAATGAAAATAACTAGGTATATAATTATTAATTTTAAACAATAATTAAAACTCCTATATTTGTTTAAAAGGTAAATGTCATTGTCAGATGTCAATTGTCATGGTCATTCAAAATTCTTGTTAAGCTGCTAAGCTAGAATATGCGTGAAGTTAGCTTCACGCATATTCTATTTCTTTTTACTTGTAGTTTGTCTTATTCCCATCTCGCTCGCGCACGCTATATCACACTGCCAATTTTGTGTCATAGGTGCGCGCGCAATCGTAAAATTTCACTCTCATCAATTTTTCATAACGCGCCTAAAGAAGTACAACTTCAAAAACAATATCCCACATCGATCATATTAATTCATTCACTGTAACTCTAATCCGAGGTTTTACGGTTTTGAATGCTCCGGGCACTCTACTATGAGTATGTGAGTGTAGCTGAGTTGTTATATGTGTGCACTGTGTATATAATAATAATATAAAGTGTATGTTATTATTACATCTAGAGAAGAAAAAAAAGTAATACAATACAGACGAAATAGTTTAACCGGCTATGGATGGTATAATGTATTATTAAAGAAATACAACTAATCCCAAAGATACCATTTAACTGGTACTTACATATCTCCAAGAATTACTTGCTATAATCCCTGGCAACTTGTGCAAAGTTTCAGTCGGTTTCATAGTTGTTTAAAGAACGGTTCGGTGGCAATAAATACTAAACCCTCTAATCACAAAAAATAGGCATTATTGTCAGTCTTAGAGATATGAAGACCATTAGTATAGGAATAATGAGAGGATTGATAACAATTACTTTGCCTTTAAATAAAACCACAAATAGTTCATACACACAGAAACTCAATAAACAATATATGATTGAGGGCGTAATTAGATAAGTTAAATTGGCCAAAATCTAATTAATTTCAAATGCATCTGAACTAATGTTATATCAAAACCAAAGCGAATTGCAAAATAATTACAAAGCAAATGTAATTGTCAAAAAAATTATTGATCCCTTAACAAAATGTATAAAATAAATGTTCTTCTATAATGAAAATAGAACTCACCGCAACTGCTCAGTGCAAGAAAAAGAAATTTTACAAACAGGCTATTCATAATGAATCTAAAAGATAACACAGAAGAAACCTTATTTATACTCATGACAAAACTTTAATTTACATTAAAAACCGATATTTAAGCATAACTTTATAGACTAGTGTTATCACTAGTTAGATAACATAATTTTACCTGACTTTTATTTATATAAATACAACAAAAGTTCGTATAGATTTAATGTAAAAATAAAATAAATCAGTGGCGCTACAACCTTTTTAGGTCTGGGCCTCAGATTATATATCCGATTCATCTACTAGGCAAGTAGGTGACCAGCCTCCTTACACACGGGACTTGGGTCTAAGGCAAGCCGGTTTCCTCACGACGTTTTGGTGCAAAGCCGGTGTTCGAACCAACGACTTCAGGGAAGAGAGTAGCCCGTTGAAGCCATTAGGCCAAGACTGCTGCATATATTTAATATATATATTAAAATCAGTGCACTGGGATGAACTGTCCGCCCTAAATAATCTAGCCCGTCACTTACATAGGAATAATATTTGTCAGCCAATAAAAATAAAACGCGGGCTTATGAGATAATAATGAAATGTGAGATACACCGTATACCTGGAAAGCTGCTACTAATAAACTCCGACCGCCGAAGCTGATGCACGGGCAATTCAAATCTTCGTTTGTTTTCGCAAACCTTCAGTTTAGGTTTAAGCACTACTTTAAGGAATCAATTGTAGTTTCACTTCTCTCTCACTAAAGCCTTCATAGGTTGGGCTATGAATCACTGGAACTACGGAGAGAGCACTCGGATATTTGATCTGCACTAATTGTTTTCAGGGTTAGAACAGACTGCATGTGGCTGCTTTCGGAATTGCTTAGACTAAAGTATTTCAGATCCCGGAGGCAGACCCTGCTTTCTGAAAGGAACTCACGAGTTGTCACCCATTCCGCTTATGATTTCGCTGCATAACCGTTCTGCACCGGAACCGGATATATTTATGATAGATTTGGGAAGACTGTGAGATGAATCTACCTAAGATTTTTTTATTTTTTTAGTAGATACATATAATTTATTACTAGCTTAATAAGGGACTTTATTAGGGCTTATCTATTTAAGTTAGTCTATATATTAATATTGTGTAGCATCTGGTTATGTTTAGTAAAACAAAATTTTTAAAAATAATTAAGCATTTTATAAAAATTTGTTTTTCAATTTTCCTTAATAAAATCGTATTATTAATTGATATTTTTTAAGAAGACAATACGTTAACCACTAAACCGTGGCGATTGTCTAATATAATCCAAAACTATAAATAAGAATTTATTTTAATGGCAACTCTGCCAGCAAAATTAGGGTGATTAAACATTAATTGACTTGTAAATTTGTACGAAATACATAATTACAATTTTATCGGTGACTTTTATAGCTATTTTAATTTCAATAAATTATTTTGATAGCAATATGGAAGTACCTAGATATAGTTAAAAGTATAAATGATTTACAACGAGCCCCAAGGCAGCCACGTTAGCCTGGTAATTAAACTTAGTTGTGAAAATATTTAATTTTATTGATTTTTTTATTTATATGCTTAACAGGATTCCTACATCTCCTCACTAAACAATATCCAAACAATTACATTGTAAACAAAAGCCAAAAACGGAATACATATTCAAACATAAACAAAGCACAGTTTTACCTATATAATACACAGAAAATATAACAAAGTATATATAATAATAATAATAATTATAATAAACGCTAAGATATTATAAGATTCATTGATAATATATATTTAATATAAAGGAAGAATAACAAATGTTTAAATAATGTTTATTTGTTTGCATTGAATACACTCCAGAACTACTGGAATTGGATTCTTTCACCATTAGAATCCTACATTGTCTCTGAGGAACATTGGCTGTATGGTATATATTATGAATCAATGATTTTCAGTATCCCGGTAATTTGCCCGATGCTCTACAAATGATTAATGTAACAGCCTTGAGTGTGGATGAATGCCAGAGCCTATTTAGTGGGATTAATCCTGTATTTGATTCCCAAATTTGCTCTCTTACAAAAGCGGGAGAAGGAGCGTGTCACGTAAGTATTTTAATCTTCTAAAGACAAAAGACTGGTAATTTTATAAAATCGTTATTATTTATTTAACCCCGGCTAAAACTAAAGTATTGGGATATATAAAAAAATTAACCACGGTCACTTAATCGAGAGTTTCGCAACTTATCCAACCTGTAATGTATTTGTCTACTCCTAACGTTTTACCAAAACTAAACTAAGATTTGTTGCCATATCATTAAGTAGCATAGACAAAAAACACCATATAGATAAAATTATAAATATATAAGCTTATAATCATTGTTCGGAATTATAATAGTAGACATAAATTTAAAAATAAGTATAAAACATAGTTTCCCGAATATTTCTCGCATCAATAAATAATTTGAATAATTGCCTGTCAGCTCTCATCGTATTCAGAGGATTATACAATTCACAATAGTATTTGTAAGCAGCCTGCACAGAGATAACAGGATTATAATCCTATAGGATACGTATAAGGATTTAATAATGTGTTAATTGTTAGAAAGAGAAATACAGAGTAGAATATATATGTATTGAAAAAAATAAAACATGATAAGAATTCCTTTACATGCAAGCCTTTTTAACACACAATTGTAAAGGGTACCAGTTTGCCATTTCTATTTCTCTAATACCTCTGCTTTGGAGGAGCATGTCAGTCCTGCGCCTGTTAGGGTAATGCCCAAAAAGAACCCTTTAATTCTTAAGTATTTTTGTACTGTGACGAGCTGTAGAGATGCGCTCCATAAAGTTTGATGTGCTACTATGTAATTGTAAACTTCATTTATTTTATAACAGAGCTACGCCACTTAACTTTTGCACCACCTCATGCAAAGTTATAAAGCTAATTCTTAAAAATCAGATTAATTGCACCGTTTTAACTAAAGTATTCATTTGTCTTTTTTCATCACAGCGTTAATACAATTTGACAGAGAGGCGAAAGAGTACTTCAGAACTACTACTTAAAGAGTAATCCCTTAAGGATTGCTGTAAGACTGATTTAGTTTAGAAACTCCTTCCAGGCTTTACCAAGCTTGTGGCTAAAGCGTTATGGATATTGAGAGAACTAAATTGATGTTGCACACAAAAACGACGGGATTGCTATCACTGTCCATATTGGAATTTATAGAGTACGGATGCAGTGTATACTCCTCTCAAATCATGTGCTTGTTCTGTGTGTCTTGCAATAAGCAAGTTTTATTCAAAGGACATCTTTCAGGGTGATTCTGGAGGTCCTCGGGTTGAGGATGATCGAGTCGTGGGCATCGTCTCCTGGGGCATGCCATGTGCCAGGGGATACCCTGATGTCTACACTAGGGTTTACTCTTTCCTTGAATGGATACAAGCCAATATAAATGATGAAGAAAATGAGAAGTCAAAGACAAAATAACCAGTCACATCATATTATTGTACTGTGTGTGTAATATACAATATAAATTATGTATTAATGGTGTTTTTATTATTTAAATTTAAAACTGATAAACCCAAACTTAAATGAAAGGAAGTCAGTTCGACGTTTCGTTCAGTAGTCTACCGATACTCTCATTTTGCAACATCAAGTTATAAACAGACAGCTGGTTTCCTTATTTTCCTTCACCAATGTAATGTTAATCTGGTACAGCGTTCCACCTCAGTACTAACTAAAATCTTTAAAAAGCTCAACTAAGGTAACAGATATTACAATAAAAAGTAGTAGTAGTAGTAAAAGTAGTAATAGTAGTAAAAGTAGTAGTCGATATCTTTATATGGTGCTAAGTTACATTTTATTATAAAACATTCTGTGATTTGAATATGGAATTAAAACTTTTTACTTAATGTATAGTATATAATATGTAATGAAATGACATTTCATTAATTTGAATTTGGCGCGCTTCGCCATATGTTCATTTTTTTATGTTATATTATATTAATTTGATTTTATAAGTTGTCTGTGGAAGTTTGTAGGCGACGCATCGGAGTGACGCGATGGAACGGCAGATGACGTTCAGATTACGTTGCTTTTCATTGTTATAAAAGAAACTTGTAGAGAGATATATTGAAGGATATAATTGAGAAGGAGGATATTAGTGAACTTTCAATGCGTTTCTTTGTATTTTTAGGTGAGATTTAAGAATAATTTTCAAAGTTAAACAGTAATTGTTGTAATATATTGTAAAGGCGTGATAAATAAAACAAAACTTTATATTTTCAGAGAAACAATTTGTGGTTTATTTTGAAAATTCTCAATAATATATCTTATATATATACGTGTACCTACCTCAAATTTAATTACTTATATTTTGTTATTTGAATGAACTATGTTATTAATTGCTTAGTTATACAATACAGTAGGTAGAATTTCAAATACATACTAATAGGGTAAGGGTCCTCCCTCCGTACTGTTTTAAATAAAACTGTGTTATAGAAGTAAAGCCTAAAGGGTTTCTCAATAAACCTAAAACAATTTAATAAAAAAAATCATTATTATTACATAAAATACTATATTTAATTTAAAAGTCCTATAACTAATTTAGAATAAACGTTAAAAACACTTTGCTATCAAAATGCACATACTTACCTCGTGCTTTTAAATAAACCACTCCAAGGCCATCGAAACTGTTAATACGCTGTATAATAATTACAGTATATTATTTTTTGAATACTTAAGTTTTAATTTAAATAATGAGAAGTTGGTAGAAAATAATAAGTTCGATTATTTTGTGTTAATGTGTAAAGACGTTAATTAAAGTACCTAACCTACTTATGTTTTTCTCTTTACTTATTTTTATAACATAAGTAATCACTATTTAAAATACAATAATAAAGTTGTAGATTTTAAGTTCTCTTTACATAAATCGGACTCTTATGTGTACAAGACGTCATTATATTTAAAAAATGCATTTTTTTCGTCGTTTAATAATGTATGGCAATATTATTTTCTTTACGGTTTAAAAAGTAATTGAGGGTAGTTCGGGTTGCGTGTGTCAACACAAGTTCCGTATTTCTATTTCGTTTCAAAATATTATTTGTGGAAAATAAAGTTCAAATATGTGTATAAAAGTCATATATTAACACAAAGTGACGAGTAAATATATAGTTTGGTGAAAAATCCGTCAAAAATAAACTGAAAATTAACTGTGAACAGAACACTAATTTATAAATTTATACGCGACTAACTTTGTTCAAAATGATAAAATATTTTCTATAAATATGTGATTTTGGAAGTGAGTGACCACAGTGACTTGTGACACTATTGTGTTGTGGATTTTTGTCGGTAGTGAAAACCTATACCTACGTGACGAAAAGAAGTTGTATTAGTCATTCGCGACAAACGTCACTAGAAAATAGCAGCTATATTAAAATTTCGAAGTGATCAATACCTAACCATTTAACCGACCAATAGTCCTAACGATTTCTACAGTTTGACTCAAAGTTGATATCCAAAAAAATAAGAAAAAATTAGATTCTACCCCATACTACATAAAAGAAGACTTCCCTCCAGATGTATTCAATAAACGAAAACAATTACAAATTGAAGTTAACAAAGAAAGAGAACAAGGGAGACTGGCGATCCTTAAATATGACAAAAAAATCAGGTTGAACAACCGAAACCAACTAATTTTTAAACCAAGAATGGATAAAAATAAGAGAACTCCATCAGAATCTCCTGAATAGTCGAGAACCAACCATAAAAGAAATAAGACCGTTAACCAGCACGCGAGGAAGTTACACCAAAAAAGAATATGTCCAGAAAATTGCTTAACAAAAGCAACTTCTCCTCACTGCTCTCCAAATGGCACCGCAATACAATCCCATTCGTCACAAACAATACAATAACAATTACCAGCGCCCCCTCCACCTCTCCCACCACGGCTGATCCCCGCGGGAGAGCCATACCACAACCCTCTACTCCACTCCCAAATTATCTGTACGTACAATGCAAGCAAAAGTGTTCAAAAACGAAACTCTATTGTAAGAGCAGCAAATAAACTCTACATACTAACATACAATGTCAGAACCCTGTCTTCTTATGGGCGCCTCTTAGAATAATTAACAGAGGTACTCAAAACTATAAATTACGACATAATTTGATTATCGGAAACGCGACGTCTAGGAACAAACATTGAAGAATATAGTTATTGTTTACTTTGTTATGCAGGACTTACGCAAGGTCAATATGGAGTCGGCTTTTTTAATAAACTTACACCAGAGTAAAACATTGAGAGCTTCACTGGAATTTCTGACAGAGTCGCACTACGAAACATGAATGTGCAGGGCACCGAAATCTCGTTTATACAAGTGACGCCCCCACAGAAGCAGCAAAAGAAGACGAGCTCGAAGCGTTTTATGCAGACTTGTATCGAGCCTTGGATCTTGCCCATAATAGATATTTGCATTTAGATCGCCCATAATTATATATGTATACATATATAGTTATGGGCGATCTAAATGCAAAAATAGGCCAACCTAGGACAGACGAGTATAAGATAGACGAGATAATGAAATGCCATGGTTAATGTTATTTGGCATGTTTACCTTCTTGTTGTAAAAAAAAAACTATGTGTGAAGATTGTAATTGACCCATAATGTTATATATATATATATATATATACATCTATCTCTGTATTGTGCTGTGAATCTTCTGAATAAATTAATAAATAAATAAATTAAGGCAAAAGGAACGTAAGAGGACAGAGACTCATCGAATTTGCCATCAAGAAAATAAACAAAATAAACTAAAATAAACGAAATTGATTGTATTCTATAAAACATACCTAGCATTGTACACAACATAGATGTTTTGAATCTCAATTTTTCGTCAGACCATACCAGTAAGAGCAACAATAACATTGGAAAAAATAAAAATAAACTGAACTACATTTAATAGCACTCCCAATACCACCCTTAAAAGCGAAGAAGAAATAAAAAAAATAAGGAATGCATCACAGCTCACCTACCAAACATACAGAAAATAAGACACTCAAAGATAAGAAGCGTTACTAAAGCAACTGATGCAATAAACTATGCTCTAAAGCTTAAATGGAGATGGGCAGGGCATGTAGTAAGACTATCTGACGATCGATGGACCATAAGGGTGACCCGGTGGGAAGGCCCTATTGGGATGCGAAACAGAGGAAGACCGCTCACGAGATGGGCGGACGACATTGCTAAAACGGCTGGCTTGAGCTGGAGGCCACTCACCCAAAACTGAGATACCAGGAGTTCCTTGAAGGCCTCCTCCTGGTATCTCTGCTTCCTTTTCGCAAAATAATTGGGAAAAAATATAAAAAAGAGAAAAAAAGAAAAAAAAATTTAGTGTAAAAACTAGTGTAATTTATTTCCTTGAAATATATATGTATATATTATTAGTAATAAGTTTACTTTGTTCTTTTGCAAGAAATAATAAGGCTTTTTATTTTATTTTATATTTAAAAAGCTTAGGCTCTGACAATACTTAGTTGTACGTACACACCCGTTTTCAACTTGTTTTCTTCCCACTTTCAGGATGGCAAATGAAGATCCACCCCACTACCTTAGTAAAATGTTCCTACTTTTTAAGCAGCGTTTTAATGATGCCGTCCAGGCTATCCGAAACCCACCTCCCGTACCCGCATTTGCTCGCGCTCACTTTTCGAGGCGGGAAGAAACAAGCATCAACTACTACAATGAATGAAATAAAATCGAGTAACAGACATACATTTAAATAATATTTAGCTATATCATTAGGCACCAATACTAATTATGTTTTATTTTTTGTAATGATTTCCGTCTTTTGCAAATTTTTTTTCCATTAAATTATGTAGATTTTTAGTATAAATGTGGAATAGAAAATTAAAAATTACAGAGCAAGGACAGAACTCCAAGGAAAATGTTTCTCCATTTTGGAATATTACTTCTTCTGTCCCATGGACTCCTTGGTAAGTTAAATTTCATTTAATTAAAATTTATAACCAATATTGTGTAGTCATACGAAGAATACAAACACGACTCGAACAGCATTTATAGCGAATAATAGTAAAATATGTTTTAATTTTGTTGTAAAATAATGAACTATTTGCAAATAGTTTTAATTTTTATTTTCACATTATTTATTTCGCACCACCGTCGTCATTTGAAATCAATGAATTATTTCTTTCTTCTTTTTCATTCTTTCTTTGGCTTCCGCAACAAAATAATTGTTATGCCCCGTGCACAGTATATTAAACTAAATATGAACGTAGCCCAATTAAATGAAGTACGTTCACAGGCGAAGTGGAAGTTTCGGAAGCTATAGATGGAGACAGCCGAATAATAGGTGGCATAGATGCCCCTCCAGGGATCGCTAAGTACCAAGTTTCAATTCGTATTCATGTAGGAGAGAAAGAAGGGCACATTTGCGGAGGGTCTATTTTAAACGAAGAGTATGTGTTAACAGCCGCTCATTGCATTCATCGGTGAGTATATTTTTCGTTTCTATTTATATTTTACTTCATTGTATAGGATATCTAAAATATATAAATTCCTCACCTTGGCTGCTCACACCGAGTCGTGATGATCCCGACCCTGGTGTGGCAGATGACGACAAGTTTTCAGTTTCCAGTTACATCTATTTCAATCATTTAAAATTTGTAAAAGTTATCATTTCATGTGGAACGACAAACTTTAATGATGTTTTATAGATATACTTGAAATTACTTATAGGAAACGAGCTGAGCAGTTGTCTATAGTAGTTGGCAGTCAAGAATTCAATAAAGGCGACCAACGTTACAAGATTAAGAAATTGGTGCTTCATGAGAAGTATTATAGACGGTATCTAAAGAATGACATAGCCATCATACAGATCGAAGGCAAAATCAAATACAACGATATGGTTCAACCAATTGAGTTGTTAAAAGAAATGGCACCTATTGGAAAGAAATGTCTCTTGACTGGCTTTGGATACACAGACTATGTGAGTAGATTCATATATTTGTTTAACTAAATGTTTTTATAAATTTATCAGTTTTGTTATATTCTGCACTAAGACCCTTATTTCGCTGTGTGTGTTTAAAAATAAATACAAGTAAAAGTTATTTTATTTAGCCAACGAAGTGTTAATAAATAAATATGTTCCATATAATATATATATGGAACAAAAAAAACTAAATAATAATAATAATAATAAATGAGTAACAAAATGATATTCAGCAGAGCTTGCATTATTTAAACATCGTTAAATTTATTCATTTTCACTATTTATAAAACATTGAAACACTTAATTCTCTCTGTGATAGTCAAATGTTGCTTATTATTACAGGACAAGTTAACTGTACCAAAATATCTTCAAATGTTAGAGTTTATAACAATAAGCAATGACAACTGCACTGAACAATTAAAACGCTCGCCTTACCCGAGATATGTGCCCGTAGACGAGGGACAACTTTGCGTTCAGCGCCCGAAGAACAAAGGTGCATGCAAAGTAAGTAATTTGAAATTAAATTAAAATTGAATGTGCTTAAACATTTTTAATTAATCATAGTTTCACGTTACGATCGGGCTTCATCAAAATGGTTTTAAATATCAATCATAGTACCTGAATAGTTTGCAAAAGGTTCGAATTTCTGTTTGCATTTAACACTTGCTCATACGGTGAAGTTAAAACATCGTGAAGGAATCATGATTTCTTATCCTGATGGATAAAGACTGACCAACTAGACACCTATAATAAAATGAGCAAATTCTTCGATCTGAGGCCATAACCTACAATAACACACTTTTGGATAATTGTTATTAATAAGGGAAGCAGATCAATAATTGTGCATAAACAATATAATACATTCCTGTAAATTAATACCTTTAAATATTATCATTTCTCGTGCAGGGTGATTCTGGTGGAGCTCTCGTCATTCAGGACGATAAGAACAAAACTCTTCAAATAGGAGTCGTGTCCTGGGGAGTTCCCTGCAACGCCGACTTTCCTGATGTATTTGCTTCAGTCCATGGTTACTACGATTGGATACAGAGCAAAATTAAATAAATTATTAGATAATTCAAGATGGTCACATCTGATTAAAATAAATATCATTTGAAATAAAAGTATATTTATTATATGCAACATTTAAAAATACTACTTCATTTTAAAAAAAAACATCAACGATTGTACATTAAGGCGAGTTAATGACCATTTGGAACAACACCTACGGGCTACGAGATGCCCAATCGTAAAAATGGCCAAAAGGTGCATTTATTTTAGGTAGTCAAAGTCTAATTTCAAAATGGCAACCAAATTTTTATGCTCGTAAAAGTTTTCGTTAATTAATCTGTAATTTTGAAATTTGTATCAAAAATTATAAAAAAGAAATTGATGACAATTTGATACATTACGTCGTATCATGCGTATAAATAGCGCACCTTCAGAACTAAGCGCTGAAAAGAGGCTAATCATAAGGAGCAGTGTTGGCCTAATGGCTGTTCTGTCTAAATAATATGCATTTAACATTCGCTCTTACGGTGAAGGAAACTTTATGGGTCTAAGGAGAATGAGAAGGCTGATCGCTCTGCTGATCACTTGCCTTTTAGAAAAATTTATACAGACATCGTAATCTAAGGCCAAAATGGTTGTTGCGCCTTTGATTTTGTAAGTGTCGATAAGCTGACGATCTCGCTAAGTTTAATTGTATTTAATGTTGTTTGGAATAAGAAGACGAACAGTTTTGGTATTCACTACACCTGACATTCACATCATCACTGTCATCACATCACACAACGACCTATGACCACTAATGACCATCCCAATAAACCAGGTCAGAGCATAAGGTGAGTGGAGGATAATATCTATTCTTACCAGGGCCTTTCAGTGATCGAAATTACCCTGAGCACACCATATCACCATGCAAAAAATAGCTAGCAGCATTAAGCAAATTTTTACTAACTAACTAGAAAAACGTACGATATTAATTATACTAAAAGTAATAGGCTGAATTCAAAATATGCGTATTTGATTTTCATCGGAGGTGAATTCTCTTTTTTCAGCGATTAATAAGGTTCTTACCAGTTCTTCTCGTTCTACGCCCTTGATTGGAAGCATTAAATGTAAATGTAGACACATTTCATTTTTTATGTTAAAAATATCAATGATATTTGATTTTGATTTCGTGTATTGTTTCGACGATAAAATAGTAATACTTCAAAAATTGTCTTTATTTCGTTGTATGCTCATTTAAAATATTTGTATTTCATATTATTCTAATTTCAAAGCATATTTTTATAACTTAACATAACATATAAATAGGCTTATATTTGAACGTTTCCGATATAATTATAAATTTATAGGCAACAGAGAAAATTAATTGTGTTCGTTATCTCATTTAAGATAATTAACACAAATTACAGGTTGATTATTGTATTTTAAACTAGGACAATGGAGATTAGACGCGGTATTTGATTGTTCTAAATTATTTGTCTTTGTCATTATGAAACAGTAGATATATTTATGAATAAAATTAGTTTTAATTTCATTTCATTTTTTTTTCCTTTTAAAGAAATAAAAAGTTGTACTTTGTAAATAGGGTATTTGATCATTTTAAACTATTTGTCATTTTAAGTCGTAGTATTTAAAAAAATAACTACATAAGATGATTTTTTTCTTATGCAAAAACATATAATTATACTAAAATTTATCCCGAGACATCATTGTTTAAAGCGTCTAGTCCAGTTTAGGTTTGATTCCCGCTAAAATGAATATACATTTGATCACATACCTCAGCAAATAACTAGTGAAAGATGCTAGGAATAGTAGACGATAACAATACGAGGGGTGGTTGGGTGAAAAAACAAATCACATAATTTACATTAATATACTGATGATGTGGTCACTTTCATTGCAAGTTTAGTGTGATAAAATAATAAAGGCAAATAGGAAAATAACACAGTAAACAATTTAACATGACTTTATTGAAATTTCAGGTTCATTGAAAAATAATGACTTGCTTATCATTCGTGAAGAATGAAAAAGTTTCTGTGATAACACAATTTAAGGTAGGTATTGGAAGTTTTCCAATAGTCGTAGAAATCCAATCCAGGTACTTATAAACCCTGGTGAATACATCTGGCACCCCTTTACCACATGGAATGTTCCAGGATGTTATTCCATGTACAGTACCATTATGGACAAGAGCGCCTCCAGAATCACCCTGCAATAAATTATAAAAAATCGTTTTTTATAAATCTGGGTGTTAACTAATCGATGAAGTTAGGTACTTATGTAAATGTTTAAAAAAATTACTTTGTTAATACAAAATCACTTTTATTTGTGTCGCTGATAAATTCGCCCTACTAATTTACTTATATGTTGTATGTTTGTATATGTGTATTTATTACTCATAAATTATTGACTTACTTGACATATGCCTTGGCGAACATCTTTGTAAGTGCAGAGCAGTTTATCAGTGATTGGGTTCCATCTTTCCTCCTTTTTAAGTTCACTCTCTTGACATTATTTTACTGTTAGTGATTTCACAGTCAACTTTTGCATTCTTTTAGGTCGTGTGTGGTAATTCTAAAAAGAAAAATGAAACTCATTTAAAATACCTGTCAACGTTTTTTAAAAAGTACCAATAGCGCTAGCCGTGGTCTTGGTCTCATATTCTTGTGTCTGTCATGATCATTCACCGTACTCGCGCATGTAAAATGCGATACAGAAATATCGATTGGATATATAGGATAACTACATCAAAGATGAGTCGCACGGTCTATTCGTATATTCGTAATATTAGTGTTTATTGAGATAGGGCATTAAAGACACATATCAGAATTAGCCTTGTAGACTAAAATTAGGACAGCTGTCTGATGGCGACGTGTATCTCGTTCGTATGTATATTGAGTTTTTAATGTAAAATTAAAATTTTGAGATCAGAAATAAATTAGTCGATAAATGCGTGAACATCTCAGAACTGAACTACTTAACTTTAATAAAACCTGTTAGGGATCAGGGAAGTTCTCATATGAATTTTTTCCATATATAGACATATACCTACGATATATGTATATAATTACACTCAATAATTACAAATTCAAGTAACATATATAGCACTTACGTCAATATATCCAAATCCAGCTATTATCAAATTGAGTCCGCCTGGAGTGTTCTCTGTTGGCAATTTAACTAAACCAACTTTCTCCCCCAACTGTATTTGTCTGTTCACTAGAATAAGACTTATGTCGTTCGCAAATGAAATGTCGTTCTAGTTTTCATGATTGATGTATTTATCAATTTTGTATTTCGCACCGCCACTCCAAATATCGTTTGTGCCGACTACTACTTCTATTCTGTCTTTGGGGTAGCTAAAAATAGTTTTAATTATTTACATGTGTCATTGGTCTGCCAGTTATAGGACAGAGATTATCCTTGTGTACTGTATCTTGTCACATTACAACTTTATTTAATTATAATAATTATTATCTTACTTTCGTAGCTAAAAAAATGTATTTTTTAATTTATTTATTTTTCTATCTCAGCGCTTGAGTCAGGCTTGATCTCAGTTAAAAGATAAACGACTCAAATAATTAAATCTTATTACGAATAACATTTAATTTTTTGTATAATGGTTAATTTATGCTAATCATTTTATGAACTTCATAAACAGTCCTTTAAATAAACCTTGTGTCGACCATATCAACACGCAGAGAAGCGCCAAGTACCGCAACATGATGATATGTATATTGATTCTAGAATAAAATCGAAATTTAAATGTATGCGACAATACAATAATAATTAGGTTCTGTTTAAAATGGAAATTATGTTTTTTTTAAGTTTTTTTAACTTCAATTTGTTTTACGTTATTTAACATCCTGCCAAACTAATGAGTTATTAAATATCGTTTAAGGTTTATGGCCCGATTATGTTTTAGAGGAAAAGTGAAGAAAAAAAAACACTTATGTTTTAAAAAACCGCACTTGCACATCTGACACTTAAGAAAATAAAGTATTTAAATCATTAAAATTCAAATTAGAAGAAATGTTTTTAGTTTGTGTAATATGTACTTTAATTACTTGGTCTTAATTGCAATACAATTCTTGTACACGACACGTAATTATGAAATAAAATCTTATATTTTAGCTTAATTAATAATTTTCTGTTTTTCTCATCTAATGATTGATATATATTATCATTTACCTAATAACTTATTTAACCTGCTTGTTTTTGTTTTGTAAATGTATGATTTTGTATATTATGGTAACGAAGTGTAAATAAATAAATAAATTTACTAGCAGTGATACGCTGTTTGACCCGCCATAATTACGTCTAGCATGTTGTGGAATAACCTTTCGCAATTAAATTAATAATCTAACAAAAAAAGAATTTATTTGCAAACCTTTACAATTAAGGAACACAATTCAAGGAAACAAATTATTTTGTAGAAAGAATATTAATTTGTTATTTTTCAAGTCAAGCTAATGATAATTACAAAAATGTAGTAAAAAACCAAATAATAGATGTTAAAAAAAATTAATTATTGGCATTCGATATGAGTGTTTCCAAAATTAAATAAAAAAAAATCCACCCAGAATATTATACATTAGACAAAAAGCAACCTTGCTCCGCTTCATCTTGTTGAATCGCAAATCTTATTTTATATTTTGTCAGGATTTCATAATTATTTTAATAAGTTCTTTGTCACAAGGTGCACCGTTTATTTCGTATTACATAAAGTATAAAAATACTTCTACAAAAAGCTTACCACGCTTTTACAATAATCTAAACCTACTTAAAAATAATAATAATTAAAAAAAATTGATATATAGAAAATTATAACAAAGTTGTTAAAACAAACAGACCTGTAACAGTATACCTTTAATGCTAGCAGAAATTACTTGCTATAATGTATTTTTTTTTTTAATAGGTATGGCTAAATCGTTTTAATAATAATCTTTTTACTTTATTTAGTTATTACTCGCATAGTTGGTTGAAATATACACAGACCAGGCTTATTTTAATTATAACTAAGTAGCATGAAGTCTTGAACGAGCTTTGTAAAA